ACAAATCCAGATACATCATGACCCAACTATGAAGCCTTCCAACATGGCCACCAGAAACAGCTGATGGAGTCAAAAGATGAATAAAGCAATTGAGCTTTAGCAAGACTCATGAAAATGATATTCCCAGAGATTATAAAATCAAATACCGACTGGTGGGCCCCAATGCTCTCAGCACTTACCAGTTGGCCTGCATCCCCACAGACTGGGGCCTTACAATTATTGTTCCAATGTACAAGAAAGGAGAAAAGTCAAATCCTGCCAACTATCAACTGATCAGTCCCCTTAGTCATTAGTAAACTGTATTCTGGACACCTTGTACTGGAAACTTCTTGATTGATTAGATCAAGAAAACATACTGATGGGTGAGCAGGCAGGCTTCATAGCTGGCTGTTCCACTTCAGACTATGCCTGATCTCGCACCATCTTGCGGAAAAGTAGAGCTCTAAGCCTAATGGGGCACTTTATGCTGCCTTCGTGGACTTCAAAGCAGCATTTGACAGTATCCCCAGGAACAGGCTTTGGGCAAAGTTTGAGAAGTCTCTCATAGACTGAAGACTCTACATACTTATCCACTCGCTGCATGAAGGAAATTTCCTAAAAGTAAGATGCAGTCCTCAAGGCCACCTCTCCAATCAGATCCCACTGGACAAAACAGTTAGGGTTGCATTTTGGACCCTCTGTTGTTTAACTATTACATCAACTCTTTGATGTAACACCTAGGAAATCCAAGTTTTCCTTTTCCAAAGCTTGCTGACAAAACAATCCCTGTCTTACTATACGCAGATGATACTGTTATCTTCTCTTTTTTTGTATTTCTCTGTGTGTGTGTGTGCGTGTGTGTGTTTGCTTGCATGCCTGGAAGTCATGATGACTTCTGGTAAACCCTATTGGGGGCTTGGTCATTTTTCAGAGAGGTGGCTTGATCGCCTGCCTCTGTGTCCTGAACCCTGGTATTCCTTGCAATTAACTACCAAAAAAACAATGTCCTCATCTTTACCCAAAAAAAGCCACCAAAACCATAGATGGCAAATTGAGGGCCTCAACATCAAACAAACAAAAATATTCAAATACCTTGGATGGACACTGGAGTCCAGTTGGATGGACACTGGAGAGATCAGGCACTGCACACTGCAGAGACTGCCCACAGAGAAACCTCCACTAGTATACAATTCCACTTCACAAAAAGGGCCTCCTTTATCCCTGCAGCAATCAAGGTTTTCCAAGGGAAGGTTGTCACCCAGTTCTTGTATGGTTCCTAGCTCTGTATTTATAAAGAAAGACACCTACTGGAAGCAGTATAAACTAAGTTCCTAAGAATGATTTTTGGAGTCCTACAGTGTGTTCCAAATGCCCTTCTCAGACTAGAGGCTGGGCTGATCGCCTTGAAGGCACATTATGGGTCTACTCACAACAACCTACTGGCTAAAACTCATTTTCAATCCCCTTGATTTTTGTTGACAGTGTTGTTATAAACACTATAGCCACAGCGCAACCAGGCAAAGAGTGGTAGAGGAGAAACTCTAGGAGCACAGCCTCTCCCCTGAAGTTTTACTGCATCTTGGCTATCAAAAGCAAAATAAACAATTAAACAGTAGTTCTGGGACCATGCCCAACAATCAAATAGGGCACAGATTCAGAAATATCCAGTTATTCTGCAGCATGCTAAATGTTTTCAGCCATCAGGTTGTGTTAGATCCCTTGAGATCTCCAAGTATTGGAGAATCTTTACCCTGGCACACTTTAATGCTCTACCTTCAGCCCTTCTGGAAGGCAGATTTACCATTGTGTCCCACTCCCTCAATGGCTTTGTCCATGTCATATGGGGAAAGTAGAGTCTATAGAACATGTTCTGCTGCACTGTCCATTCTATAATGACATCCAACATCAGTATATTGCTCAAGTTCTGTGAACTACATTTGGGAAAATCTGAACAACTTGTCTCTCTTCTTCTTCCAGACTCCTCTCAGGAGATAACCCACAAAGTTGCCAAATTTTGCCACCAGGCATGTGGGATACACAAGTGGCTGATTGTGCCTCAGTAACTTACCTGTCTGTTGTAGGAGGGATTTACTTTTCTTGTCCCACTTCTTAATCTGTGTTCATTGTTTTATGTTTGCTGCATTGCATGCATTTTATTATTTGCTGATTCTTCAGAGCTGACCTTGTATTGAAATAAAGTTTCAATGACCAATGGAAAGTTACCCCTAAAGTCAAAAAATTTAACATTTGATTTCAAAAGAGGGAACTGTACAAAAATAAGGGGAATAACTAAAAGGAAACTTAAAGTGAAACACAAGAGATTCAGATCCCTAAAGCAGGGGTGGCCAAACTTGCTTAACGTAAGAGCCACATCGAATAAACATCAGATGTTTGAGAGCCACAAGACATTAACAAATATTACACACAAATTTTATTGGGAAATATGCAAATTTGCTTTTTATTAACATTAAATGAGGCAGCCAAAAATAAAAACAAAAGGGGTAAAACAGATATTGATAATGATATTTCTTTGTCCAATTATATTTATTTGTCTGCTAATGATATTTATTTGTGTGTGTGTGTGAGAGAGAGAGAGAGAGAGAGAGTAAATGGGGAGACGGAGGGGGAGGAAGGAAGAGAGAGAAAGAAAGAAAGGGAGGGAGAAAGGGAGAAAGGAAAAAAGAGAAAGAAAGGTGGAAAGAAAGTATATAGATGGGGAGGGAGGGGAAAGAGAGAGAAAGAAAGAAAAATAGATGGAAGAGGGAGGGGAAGGAAGGAAGAGAGAGAGAGAGAAACAGAGAGAAACAAAGAAAGCAAATAGATGGGAAGGGAGGGGGAGGAAGGATAGATGGAATAAAGGGAGAAAGAGAAAGGTAGAAAGAATGAAAAATGTGGAAAGAAAGAAGGAGAGAGAGAGAAACAGAAACAAAGAAAGCAAATAGATGGGGAGGGGTCAAATAGATGAAGGGGGGAGGAAGGAAGGAAAAGAGAGAGAAAAAGAATGAAAGGAAAGAAGGGAGAAAGAGAGAAAGAAAGGTAGAAAGAAAGAAATAGATGGAAAGAAAGCAAATAGATGGGGGAGGGAGGGAAGAAGTGGAAAAGAGAGAAAGAGAGAGAGAGGAGGAAATAAAGTAACTTTAACTTTAAATGGGCCCTCCAAGCCCCCCATGCCCCCACACTGGCTGGCTTGGCTTGGAGAAGAGATTTAAAGAGAGAGATTTAAAGTTAAAGTTGCTTTCTTTCTCTGCTTCCTCCCGCCTCAGGCCTACCCAGGGAGGGGAACACTGGCTGGGGAAGGGAAGACCAATCGGGGAGGCATGCCTCCCCTTCGCTTCCCCAGCTGTCCTGCTGGGGGCCACACAACATGTGTGAAAGAGCCACATGTGGCTCTCAAGCCACAGTTTGGCCACCCTTGCCCTAGAGGATGCTTGGAAGCTATTTAAAACCACACTAAATTGAAGCCCAGATAGAATACATTCCAAAGGTTAGGAAAGGCAATGCCAAGTCTAAAAGAAGCCAGCATAAGAAGGATTACAGTGGGTAAGGAACATGAAGTAACAAAGACACTGTAATAAGACACAGAGCCAGTTTGGTGTAGTGGTTAAGTGCGCGGACTCTAATCTGGGAGAACCGGGTTTGATTCCCCACTCCTCCACTTGCACCCGGCTGGATGACCTTGGGCAAGCTGTAGTTCTGATAAGAGCTGTTCTTGAAAAAGAGCAGTTTCTGTCAAGAGCTCTCTCAGCCCCACCTACCTCACAGGGTGTCTGTTGTGGGGAGGGGAAGGGGAAGGAGTTTGTAAGCCGCTCTGAGACTCCTTTGGGTAGTGAAGGGCGGGGTATAAATCCAATCTCTTCTTCTTCTCTTCTAAATAAAATAAAATTCTAATTATAATTACTTTATATATTGTGTGCAGTTATTTTTATATAGTAAAGTGTACAAAAATATGTAAATATAATCTTCAAAAAATAAATACAATATGAATCAAATGGAAAGAAGAATCGTCTGAAAGAAGAATCACACGAGGATACCAGGTATAAATGCATTTGTTTCGTTAAACTTCTTCAGTGAACCAGTATCAATAATGATACAAATATATTTTTCTCTCCAAGGTATGTGAATGCCAGAGAGGTAACAATCATTCCAAAGTAGTTCAATAGTAGTTCGCAAAATCTTGTTCATGGGGCACCAGTTCAAAGTAACAGAATCGCTGGAGATTAACCAAAGACTTCTAATGCTGGTATAGCCCGCTATGACAGCTTCTAATGCTGGTAGAGCAGGATGGTGGTGCATGGGCCTGAATCCCAAGTGGTGAATTGCAGCTGGGAAAGAAGCCCTGTGTGTGCTGCCCCCCCCCCCCCGCACAGCTGTGGTCGGCAACAGCCCCTCTCCCTTCCTGCTAAAAGATTTAAAGGGCTTCAGCTGATTGGTGAGGAGCATGTGGCCTGCTGACCAGCGGGAGCCACCCCCCGAAACACCCCCCAAATCCCCCCGCCAGATTGACCAGGGGACCTGGCAACCTTAGATGTTATTATAGATTATCAATGTTAACTGAGGCTAATGTAAGGGTTAATATCTGTTGGTTAATCTATTGTGATAAAAATACATGCATTTTCATATCTTTGTTAATATCTGTTAATGTTTAAATCACTAAAAGTATTATTTGACCTGCATGTTTTCTTAACATCTATGTACTTAATTCTATTTGTTTGTTCATTTCCCCCTTTTTTCAAATTTATTTGTGTCAACATGATTTAAATCAAACCAACGCTTCTCATGAAATCTGAATGCAGTCTAGTATTGCTGAAGGGTTTTTTGGGGACAAGCAAGTCGTATTGATAGGAAACCATGTTATATTGTAACTTTTAAACTCAGTAACCAGAACAAAATGGCCCTTGCTAGAACCATCTGTGTCGTAAACAAAAGGATTACTCTTGCTGCTAGTCTTACATGTAAGATACCGAGTGGAATATATTACACCTGGGGATCTGATTCTCAGGCTTTTACTTTTCCTCTTGCAGAGCATCATAACAGAGGAAAAAGTCCGGATAGTGAAAGAACAGTATATGTCAACTTTTGACATGACTGCAGATGGACGCTTGCAGATAGAAGAGGTACCTGGCTATCTTTTGTTTCAAAATGTTAGAAAAAATGTAGAACAGTGTAGAGAGCAGCTTTAACTGTATTATAAATAATCATTCTTAGAATCTTGTAGAACTAAATCTTTGTCCAAATATAATTTGAACGGAAGCAGCCTGTTGTAGATTCTGTAGCTGCTTCTGTTTTGGCTATTTAATACAGACCCTACATTATTTAATCTACAGATTAATTAAGGAAAGATTGAACAGGCTGATGAGATTACAGAAATATGATTGATGCTTTTGTATTTTATTTATTTTTTATTTTATTTATTTTAGCTTGCCAATATGCTTTTGACAGAGGATGAGAACTTTCTGCTGCTTTTCCGACGAGAAACGCCCTTGGACAATAGTGTGGAGTTCATGCGTGTGGGTAGAATTTCCTCCAGTGTGCAGATGTTTCTAAGAGCTATTAGATTTTTATTGAATTAAATAGACTTTTTATTAAATCAGTTTTCTATGTTGGCTAGACTCAAACTATTCTTGATAGAAACAGACCCATACATTTTAAACCCAGTACGTCTCACTCATTAATTAATGTGTGTGAAGTCAGGTAGGTAAGGGAGTCTGATTCTCAAAACTTGTGGAGAGGCTAGGTGACGGGAGAGGAGCCCTTACACCCAGCACTTCCTTCCCTGTAGCCCCTTCTCCCAAATTTTGTAGTTCAGTCACACAGTCGAGTCCGACTCTTCGCGACCCCATGGACCAGGTCATGCCAGGCCTTCCGGTCTTCCGCTGTCCTCTGATGTTCACTCAATTTCATGTTCGTTGCATTTATGACACTGTCTAACCACGTCATCCTTTGCTGTCCCCGTCTTCTTTGACCTTCAATCTTTCCCAGCATCAGGGTCTTCTCCAGTGAGTGCTCCCTTCTCATTTGGTGGCCAAAGTATTTGAGCTTCAGTTTCATTATCTGGCCTTCCAGGGAACAGTCAGGGTTGATTTCTTTGAGGATTGACTGATTTGTTCTTCTTGCAGTCCAAGGGACTCTCAAGAGTCTTCTCCAGCACCATAGTTCAAAAGAATCTATTCTTCGGCGCTCGGCCTTCCTTATAGTCCAGCTCTCGCAGCCATACATGACTACTGGGAATACCATTGCTTTGACCATGCGGACTTTTGTTGGCAGGGTGATGTCTCTACTTTTTATCATGCTGTTTAGGTTCGCCATCGCTTTCCTCCCAAGGAGCAGGCGTCTTTTAATTTCATGGCTGCAGTCACAGTCTGCGGTGATCTGGGATCCCAGGAACGTGAAGTCTGTCACTACTTCCACGACTTCCCCTTCTATTTGCCAAGGAGTGATGGGGCCGGATGCCATGATCTTAGTTTTTTTGATGTTGAGCTTCAAGCCCACTTTTGCGCTCTCCTCTTTTACTCTGAGCAAGAGGCTCTTTAGATCCTTTTCACTTTCAGCCATTAGAGTGGTATCATCTGCATATCTGAGGTTGTTGATCTTTTCCCCAGCAATCTTAATTCCCGCTTGTGATTCATCCAGGCCAGCATTTCGCATGATGTACTCTGCATATATATTAAATAAGCAAGGTGACAGTATACATCCTTGTCGTACTCCTTTTCCTATGCTGAACCAATCAGTTGTTCCGTATCCGGTTCTAACTGTCGCTTCTTGGCCCTTATACAGGTTTCTCAAGAGACATGTGAGGTGGTCTGGTACTCCCATCTCTTTAAGGACCTGCCATAGTTTGTTGTGATCCACACAGTCAAAGGCTTTAGCATAGTCAATGAAGCAGAAGTAGATATTTTTCTGGTACTCTCTTGCTTTCTCCATAATCCAGCGAATGTTGGCAATATGATCTCTCGTTCCTCTACCTCTTCGAAACCCAGCTTGTACTTCTGGTAGTTCTCTATCCACGTACTGTTGAAGCCTAGCTTGTAGGATCTTGAGCATGACCTTGCTAGCGTGTGATATGAGTGCAATTGTGCGATAGTTTGAACATTCCTTGGCATTGCCCTTCTTTGGGATTGGAATGTATACTGATCTTTTCCAATCCTGTGGCCACTGTTGCGTTTTCCAAATTTGCTGGCAAATGGAGTGCAGAACTTTAACAGCATCATCTTCTAAGACTTTGAATAGCTCAGCTGGAATACCATCACCTCCACTAGCTTTGTTGTTAGTAATGCTTTCTAAGGCCCATTTAACTTCACATTCCAGGATGTCTGGCTCAAGGTCAGTGATTATACCGTCGTGTTTGTCAAGGACATTGAGGTCTTTCTTGTATAGTTCTTCTGTGTATTCTTGCCATCTTTTCCTAATCTCTTCTGCTTCTGTTAGGTCCCTACCGTTTTTGTCCTTTATCATGGCCAGCTTTGCATGGAACGCTCCCTTGATTTCTCCAATTTTCTTGAAGAGATCTCTAGTCCTTCCCATTCTATTGTTTTCTTCTATTACTTTGCACTGTTCATTCAGGAAGGCCTCCTTATCTCTCCTTGCTGTTCTCTGGAAATCTGCGTTCAGTTGGGTAAATCTTTCCTTTTCGCCTTTGCCTTTCGCTTTCCTTCTTTCCTCTGCTATTTGTAAAGCCTCATCAGAAAGCCATTTTGCTTTCTTGCATTTCTTTTTCTTTGGTATGGTGGTGATTGCTGCCTCCTGTACGATGTCACGAACCTCTGTCCATAGTTCTTCAGGCACTCTATCTATCAAATCCAGACCCTTGAATCTATTCTTCACCTCTACTGTATATTCATCAGGGATGCGATCTAGGTCAAACCTGAATGGCCTCGTGGTTTTCCCAATTTTCTTCAGTTTAAGTCTGAATTTTGCAATGAGTAGCTCATGATCTGAACCACAGTCAGCTCCAGGTCTTGTTTTTACTGACTGGATAGAGCTTCTCCATCTTTGACTGCAAATTATATAGTCAATCTGATTTCGGTGTTGCCCATCTGGTGATGTCCATGTGTAGAGTCGCCTCTTAGGTTGTTGGAAAAGGGTGTTCGCTATGACCAGTGTGTTCTCTTGACAAAACTCTGTTAACCTTTGCCCTGCTTCATTTTGCTTTCCAAGGCCAAACTTGTCTGTTATTCCGGTTACCTTTTGACTTCCTACTTTAGCATTCCAGTCCCCTATGATGATGAGGACATCATTTTTTGGTGTTAGTTCTATGAGGTGTTGTAGGTCTTCATAGAACCGGTCCACTTCAGCCTCTTCTGCATCAGTGGTTGGGGCATAGACTTGGATTACTGTGATGTTGAATGGTTTGCCTTGGATTCGGGCTGAGATCATTCTGTCATTTTTGAGATTGTATCCCAGTACTGACTTTTGCACTCTCTTGTTACTATAAAGGCCACACCATTTTTTCTACGAGATTCCTGGCCACAGTAGTAGATATAATGGTCTTCTGAGTTAAATTCGCCCATTCCTGTCCACTTTAGTTCACTGATTCCTAAGATATCAATGTTCAGTCTTGCCATCTCGTTTTTGACCACGTCAAGCTTACCTTGATTCATAGATCTTACATTCCAGGTTCCTGTGCAGTATTGTTCTTTGCAGCATCGGACTTTCCTTTCACCATCAGACACATCCACAACTGAGCGTCCTTTCGGCTTTGGCCCAGCCGCTTCACTCTTTCTGGGGTTACTTGTACTTGCCCTCTGCTCTTCCCCAGTAGCATATTGGACACCTTCCGACCTGAGGGGCTCATCTTCCGGCGTCATATCTTTTAGCCTTTTGTACCTGTCCATGTGGTTTTCTTGGCAAAAATACTGGAGTGGGTTGCCATTTCCTTCTCCAGGGGGATCACGCTTGGTCTGAGTTCTCTGCTGTGGCCTGTCCGTCTTGGGTGGCCTGGCCCTCCATGGCATAGCCCACAACTTCATCGAACTACGCAAGCCCCCTCGCCACGACAAGGCAATGATCTATGAGGGGGATCCCAAATACCTTCATGCTATGCTCAATGCTCATCGCTTCACCTACCCATTTCCACATACTGCACTTCTATTAAAGGAACAGGACATTTTTCTTCAGGCCAGTTAGCAACTCTGCTTTCCAGTTATAAGTAATCAGGTTAGAATCAAACACCTGCAAGCACAGGCTGCAGAGAGGGAAGCCATTGGCAAGGGAAGATTGAGTATCTTTCATTCCTATATCCCACCCCGCTACTTTAGAAATTAGAAGAGAGAGAAGAAGAGATTGGAATTGTACCCCGCCCTTCAGTTGGAGTCTCAGAGCAGCTTACAAACTCCTTTCCCTTCCCCTCCCCACAACAGATACCCTGTGAGGTAGGTGGGGCCGAGAGAGTTCTTTCGAGAACTACTCTTGAGACAACAGCTCTGAGAGAACTGTGGCTTGCCCAAGGTCACCCAGCAGCTGCATGGGGAGGCATGGGGAATCAAACCAGGTTCTTCCAGATTAGAGTCCGTGCTCCTAAGACTACACCAAATTAGACCCTCACCCAGCCATTTTTAAGTGAATGCGGCAGACTCAGATTTTTAACACAGAGATCTGTTACTTTCATATGCAGTTTGTATCTCATTTACCATCTCTGCATAGTCACTGTGAACATATTTCCCGTGGAAGAGGCAACATCCTTCTGTTTCCACAGATGGTCTGTAGAGAATTACTCTGCAGCTCCTTATGCTGAGTATCAGATTCTAGAATTCTAGCTTTCACTTTATTTATATTAAAAAGGCCATCGTTAAGTACTGTGCAGCATCGTGTTTGAACTTTGGAAATAAAACTATCAGCCTAAATGTAACAGAGGATCGAACATGTCAAGTCATAATAAAAGAATTTCTCTCTGGTTCTTCTTACTAGAATAATCTGTAGCTTGGACCTATCTAGCATTCTGGGGAGGCAGGGCAAACTGAGTAAGCACTGTTTCATTTGGCCTTTGTTATTCCACTAACATTACTATTACCATCAAAGGTTCTGCAGTACCAGTACAATTATTGATCGATATGTGCTCCTCATTGGAATAAGATGGAATAACAACAGAATTGGCTGACTTTTGTATAATGCTAAATATTTTACAGACATCTCCGCCTCTGCGTTTGGTGTCACGGTCCCCATCTTTATCCTAGTCCCCCCCCCATTGCACTTGAATATGGTCCTGATTAAGGCTGTAGTACCCCAATCACTGTGAAGGACTTGAAACATTCATATGGAGTAAAACAACATTTTCATGCCTAATTTTGAGAAGTAAGCTCCATCCTTCATTAAAGGAAGAAATGGAGGAAGTGAACATGAAACCAACACTGCCATCCTGAGTTATACCCTTCGAAATCCATTGAAATCAATTGGCTTAGAAGGTTCTGCTCAGGATTGTGCCATTGAAATAAGGAACAACACTTCTGCTTGCGTGCTGTATAGGATACTGTGCATGACACGGTAACTGCTCTTCCACCCACATAAAAGCCACTATGCCAACTAGTGGTGTGCAAAATGGCATTTTTAGGTTCAGGTCAAATAGACCAGAGAAAAAAATGCTGATGGCCCCAGGATCTGCATGTGGTGGGGAGGTCTCTCCCCCACCGCACACAGACCCAGCTGGGAGGGCTTCTTCCATGGCACGGTTTAAACTGTGCCCCAGGAGAAGCTGTCCCCGGGATCTGCGCCCCAGTCGATCCTGGGCTGGCTCCTCTTGCAGGTTGGTTTAAACCGAGATGCAAGAGGAGCCGGCCAGCCCCAGCCGAGGCAGTGCTCTCAGCCCCACATCACCTAAGCTGGTCCTCTTTTACAGCTCGGACTTGTGGCTGCCTTGTGATATAGCTGAATACACCTGAATAAAAGCCAGGGGGGAAATTGGCTTTTGGGGGGCTCAGCTATACCGGTAGACGAATACAGATCTCTGATCTGTATTCAGCTTCAGTAATACCTGAAGGTATTTTGGGGGTATTTTTTCAATTCAGTTTATGCCAAACACAGAATCCCTAGTGCCAACTGCAGGATGCTACTGGATCCTCCCCTCTTTTTTCCAAGCCAGTATAGAAGCTGGAAGGGCTAGAATGCAGCTACTGGAACACTGACTAAGAGCATGAAATGGATCCCTTATAAACACTATAGGTTGGTTCCATGCATTGTTTCACCATCAGAAGTCTTTTCACTGAATTTCCACTTCTGAGAGCAAACTATTTCTAGTACTTTTGCTGTTCTGCGGGTTACACCAGAGCCCAGGAACAGCATTTGGGGGCATGCTGTGGGCTGGAGCAGGAGAGGAAAGAAGGGGAGAGATCCATTTTGTTAGCAATCCTGTGCCTACTAACTCGAAAGTAAGTTCCATTGAATAAAGTGTGCCTTTATGAGGAAACATGTATAGTAATGAGTTGGAAATTTAGATCCATTTAACTCATGAGGAATGTTTCCATTGACTTTAACAGCATGCTGGAGCACTTATGTAATTACAGAAATTAGTTGAACAACAGGGTGACAATATATACCAAAGGCTCATACATCAAGAAGCAAGTCACGAGCTTAATTTTTTTAAAAAAATTATTAAGAGAACATTTTGAAAGTCACGAGCTTAATTGAAAGTTAAAAACAGTTAATTACTTAATTTCAAAACTCATAGCTTTATGTCCTGGTGAAGGGCTGACTGGGGGTTAAAATCTTCAGGTATAACTTCTATTGATTGATTGAGATACATAATTGCTTTTCACTTCCTTTGGCACAGCAATTCTTCCTTGCAGGGCCTTCACTGCAGGTAACCTGTTCTTCTAGTGTCCACTGAAGAGCATAGTGACTCTCATGTAAGGGGCTTCAGAAATATGCCCATCCATGCTGGCTCTTCTGTTTGTTGCTTAGAATATAATTATGCTTAGAATATAACTATTTTATTGGCACCTGTATTTAGTCTTTGGAATGAATGTGTCAGATTGTCATATCGTTTGGCATAAACCTGGAGCACAAGCAGTCTTGTTCTGTTGTAAACAGCCCTGAGCTTTATGGAAAGTTGGCCTATACATCTTTTCATCAAACATAGTAAATAATCCACTATCCCAACCATCAGTTTCACTGAAACATTAATTTTATATAATACAATTATGCAATTTTATACAATTAATTTTATACAACATCTTTGTATCGTTTTGGTCCCCAAATATAGTTTAAAGCAATTTGCTTGGAGGATGAGGCAAGAGACAAGATTGTACAGCCTGTTGGACATTTGTTTTGGTTCTGTTATTTACCCGGCACATCTGAATCAGCACCCCTGGAAATTACATGACCAGATTAACAAAGAAATGGGTGCCAATCTGATTAGGCACTTCCTGTAGAGGAAGCATAGCACTGGGGCAAAGATGACTTCTAGACCACCTCTTCCCATTTGAATAATGCCTTTAACAGGCCTTTCAGCTGCAATCAAAAATACTGCCAATTAATTGTGTTACTATTGTTGTCAGTATTTTTTGACATTCTGTCACCAGTGAAATGAGCTACATTGTAAAGGGTGGTATATTAATCAAGGTCCAAAGAGCAAACTAAGAGTATAAACCTTTGAGCAAGCAAGTCAGCATTCCTCCATGCTTTGAATTTTGAAATTGCTCTGCTGCAAAGCTCCGTGTTTATCTCCTAAACTGCAAACACATCAAAGTTCGAATGAACATAGCATCAAGGAAGAGTCACCTGTGTCTGATACTTCAGCTCTTGTCTTCTTCTGTGGCTGTGTGGCCAAGCTCTGTGACAAAGAGCCCATTAGTTAGGTGCAACCAACTCACCAAAGGACTTCAACAGTGTCCCGTTATCCTAACTTCCTTGAAATACACTTGTAGCCCAATACTTGCTTCAGAAATCCAATTTGTAAATGTTCAGCATATAAATAAGGAGTTGTCTTATATTTAAATTTTAAATGTACTTTTAATGGCACTATCTTACTATAATGTGTTTTTTGTTCAGATTTGGCGTCAATATGATTCCGATAGAAGTGGCTTTATTTCTGCTGCTGAGCTCCAAGTAAGTTATCTAGATTCCTCTCATGCTTGATCCTTTGCACGCCTGAGGGACTGCTTGAATGGCTTCTAGTGAAATTATCAGATCCTCCCAATGTTCATGATTTTTTTTTAACTTCAGGATGAAGTATATCACTACATCAAAAAAAATTCACCCCATTTCTCCCCCAGTGAGAAAGCCCTACCAGTGACCCAAACCACTGGTACATTGAGCAGGGCAAAGGACTGAAAGCATCCCCTTGGCAAAGAGCACAAAGTTAAAAAGTTATTGTTTGTATGTCTCTAATGAAAGGGATCTTTTATTTCTGTATCCTCATTCTTATTTTTCAATTACACAATAAACAAATGACCTGTCCATGAAGTCCAGACCTTATTCCAATCTGTTTAGGTTGAGAATGTGTTTTGTGTTTGTTTTGCATACATTAATATTTATTTAGGATATTAACAAAGAAGACAGAAATGTGGTTTGAACAACATTTACTGCATTTATAAATGAATAAATGTGGTGAATAAATAAATGTGGCTTCAATTGCATGATCCAGGTGTAACCCAGAAGGTAAGAGACTAAGCTACAAATCAAATTCACTTCACCGTGAACTCAGTACGTAGCATTTGGCTAGCCACTGTCTCTTAACTCCAAATCCTTATCTACAGTGCGGGGGGAAATTATGGTGACTAACTTGAAGGAACTGTTGTATTACAACTACATCATGCACATGGTTCACTTTGAGCACTCTAAGTGTGGTATATAAACACAAAGAATGATTATGATGATCCAAAGTTTCTTTGCGAACTGGTTTATTATGGAATGCATGAATGCAGGTTTGTAGGACTGCATGCTAAATTTCCCCTAAACATCAATAGAGCTGGAGCACATAACTCAAAACAATAAGTACATAAAACAAATAGCTTTTCACACTTTGGGCTCATTCTAAACACATTTGGAATGCCCGAGTCCCATCTTGATTTTTAAAAATTATTTCTAATATGACAGTCCAATATCCTTCCCTCTGCCTACAGAACTTTCTGCAAGATCTTTTTCGCCAACATGGAAAAACCATTTCTAAGGCCAAATTGCAGGAATATACCGATACCATGGTAAGCCCAGAGCATCTATTATTTGCATAATTTACTAATTCCTAGAAATTCTTCACAACCAAGAAGACTCTTGTCTAGGTAAGCTTGGAAAATAACGAGTGGACAATGCCTGGCAAATTTTAAAGTGTCCTACTGGACAGGAAAGAGGGATTCAGTACCTCACTTTACTCATCACTACCCCACAAGTAGAGTGAACGTGACTTCCCTCTCTCTCTCCCTCTCTCCCTCCCTCCCTCTCCATATTCCCTCATACAGAGCATATCTCAGAAAGTATGAGGTACTGAAACACTCAGAATATGTTTTTAAACAGTTGAATATATTACAGATTTAAAAACTACCTGTTTTTATTGGGTGATTGCTCTAAACTAACTGACTGAAAAATGTCCTTGCAAAACACACCTCTTGCCAGATATTCAGTGGGGTTGCCAACTACAGGTTGGGAAATTTTGGGAGGTTTGAAAGATGTAGCCTGGACTGGGAAGGGACCTCAGCAGGTTGGCTTAGGCTGAGCCGGCTGAAATTGAATCCGACAAAGACAGAGGGCCTGTGCCTGAGCCGGAATGGTCCGAAGGTAGGGATCCCACTCCCGAACTTTGATGGGGCACCATTGGTGCCAGTGCCGGAGGTTAGGAGTTTGGGAGTGCTCCTAGATGCCTCCTTAACAATGGAGGCCCAGGTAGCAGTCATTGCCAAGTCGGCCTTTTACCATCTCAGGCTGATAAGGCAGTTGGTTCCCAAACCCGGAAGCTGCAGCTGGTGCAAACTGCCGCAGCCAGGCTATTGATGGGATTCCCTGTTCGGTAGCACATCCAACCTGTGCTAAAGACATTGCACTGGCTGCCTATAGCATACCGGATTCGTTTCAAGGTGCTGGTTATTATCTTTAAAGCCCTTTATGGCCATGGACCTACATACATATGCCTTTCCCCATATGTACCCCAGAGAGTGCTGCGATCAGGGACCCAGAATCGGCTGGCCCTTCCGAATATCAAGGAGGCCAGGATAGTGACAACCAGGGCCAGGGCTTTCTTGGTGGCAGCTCCACTCTGGTGGAACAAGCTCCCAGAGGAGACCAAGGCCTTGTAGGATGTTTTGCAGTTCTGCAGGGCCTGTAAAGCGGAGCTCTTCCACCAGGCCTTTGGAGCCGCCACCATTATTGACAACTGGTAGCCTATGATGAGAGAGCCCGATCCCTTGGGTCTTCCAATTACTGCCCGAGCTAATCACCCAGGACAACTGAAGGAGATCAATGAGCTGACCGTAATATGAGGAAACTAAGTACTAGCACTTAACTATATTATTATATTTATGGTTTTAAGAATTATTATTGTAGTAACAGATGTTATACTTTTATACTATACTGTTAGAATTTTATTCTGTTCTTATGTAAGCCGCCCTGAGCCAGCCTAGGCCGAGAAGGCAGGGTAAAAATCTAATAAATAAATAAATAAATAAATAAATAAAATGCTGTTTTCTCCAGGGTAACTAATCTCTGTAGTCTGGAGATCAATTGTAGCTCCAGGAGATTTCCTGACCCCACATGGAGGTTGGCAACCCTACAATTATAAAATGAGACTGCTAAAATTATTATTTTTTAAATATGTGTATCATAAAGAAAAGAATGTGGGCTGCTAACTTCTAAGTGGGGGCCTGGAGTTCTCGCAGAATATTGCCCTTGGTCTGCGGATGGGTTCTCCTGGAGGCAACTTGGCCACTTCGGAGGGCAGACTTTAGAGCCTCACATCCTTGCTGAGCTCCCTCTCCTACCCAGACTCCGCCTTCTCCAAGAACTGCCTCCTAAATCTCGAGGAATAATCTAAACTGGATTTGACAACCCTATCTAAACTTCCCAAGGTCAATTCCAGAAGAGTGGCAGAAGAACGGCTTCTCATGTTATAAGAACAATGGCTATTTCTGTGCCTGTCTGGACTATTCAGAGTAAAATTGGGAATGTAGAAAAACAAAGCACAAGATGAATTTATTTCCATCTTTCGCTCGCTGCCAAACCCCTGAAAATAAACAGCAGCTGCCTTCTGACTGAAAAGTGCAGTAAGATACAGTGCTACCAGCATGTTGCTGCAAAGCACTCGAATTCTTTGGTAGAAAGTCTTTCAGCACAGCTACATTCCTTTGTACACTCAGTTTCTTTACCCGCTTCCCTTACATTGACACGTCGCAAAGTCTTCCTCTTTTTGCCTTTTAGATGAAGATCTTTGACAAAAATAAAGATGGAAAACTGGACCTGAATGACCTAGCAAGGTAGATTCGAATAGTGTGCTGGCAAATAAGATTTTTTAAAGAATAACCTTGTTGAATCTGATGGCTCCTTACAGAAAGGGCCACAGGGCAAACATGTGCAACGGTGGCTGTCACAAAGTCTCCATGCTGTGAAAAATCTGCCTGTTGAATTTCTGCCTGTACTGCAGTGCTAAAGGGGCAAACCTTTAGCTGAAAAAGGTAGCAGCACTCTCTTTGTAATGTCATTTTTAGAAATGTCCACCTGATCTCTGTGATTTCTACGAACACTGCCTGTCATTTGGCTTTTTTTCCTTTTAGGATCCTGGCTCTTCAAGAGAATTTTCTCCTTCAGTTTAAAATGGATGTAAGTAATGGTCATTCTCAAGCATTTAGTTTCTCTCCCCCCCCCCTTTTGCTTAAGACAGTTTTTGTTTTGTTTCTTTAAATCCTATTTTTCTTTTCATTCAGGCTTCTAGCACAGAAGAAAGGAAGAGAGATTTTGAGAAAATCTTTTCTCACTATGATGTTGTAAGTTTCTGTGTGTTTTGGTCATCAAGGGGCACATCAAATCTTACAGCTGCCTAACCATAGAATAACGTGCCAGGACCTTGCAGCTGGTGTGTTTCCACTTCTCACGGCACTGCAAACAGCAATGACAACTAGCCACTGTCCCAGTAGTTCTGTAGCAATATCCACTGGTGAAAACAAGTTGGTGTTTGCCCCAGACTCCTAATATAGCTGTGCCCTGTAAGGGAAAGTATATTGTGTTCTGGGGGTGGGAAAGGGGCAGGGTTTTTGAGTCTCCTGATAACCTTACAGGGCCATGATCCAGCAGAGGGCCCACCACAGATACGTGATTCTTAGCTGTCATCCGTTCACTCCCACCCAGTGATGTGAGATCACCTCAGAGGCCCCTACAATGTCATAGGGTCCTCTGGGACAATCACCAATGTAATTGAAGGGTGCCAGGAGGTGGCGAGACATATTTGCACAAGAGAAGTATGCTCCACTACTCCGCCTAGAAGTCGCTATGAGTAAATGGAAGACCATCTCAAAAATCGCTGTGATATTACAAAGGCCTCTCTGAGCACTTTCCCCATTTCCTGGTAGAAAGAGGTTGGAGGAAGGAGAGCAGCGACTCTATGGACAGAAGCCAGAAAAGGTCACCAGATAAAGATTCTCTCTGTGGCCTTCTTCACATCACCCAGACCCAGTCCAAGGATCACAGAACATCACTTGCTGTTAGCATGACTAGGCTACTAATTGGTTATCAGGCTGGGCCCTAACTACAAACGATGCCTGATTGTCATCCGGGAGTACTGCTGTCACCACAAAGGGGGTATTTAAAGCAAGTGTGGCCCAAAAAAGAACCCAGCTTCCCCCTCCTCCATGCGTGTGTGAGAACACAGAACAGTGGGGAAGAAAAGAGGATTGGGGCACTAGCAAATTACCACTGAACGTATAGCCACATGGCAGCAGTGCCTTCCAGAACCCCTGATGCCCTCCTCTTGGTTGCCTTTCATGTGTAGATACATCCTCCACCATCTGAGTTTCTAGCATAGCATAATGCTGGGAGATCCACAAGTACACGTACGAGAACAGATGTGCCGCCATCATATACTCTTCTGTATAACATTTGAACTAGCTCTGAAAACCATCATCCATGACTAAATGGTGTAAATGCCATGACAGAGTTTCTAGGAAGACAAGGAATATGGACTTACTTTCTTCTTGCACAAGGAGGCATATAGACAAATAACGTGATTTCAAAGGACAAAAATAATGTCAGAAAGAGGGAAGGCAGAAAGCTATTCCTTTATCTAGGTATTCGTTTTTATTCCACAAATGTTTACGGATTTTTATATATTTTCCAGAGTAAGACAGGAGAACTTGAAGGCCCGGAAGTGGATGGGTTTATTAAGGATATGATGGAACTTGTCAAGGTGACTTCCTAATGGTTTATGTGTTCTGTGTCCTGTAGTTAAGTAGCTTCTTTCAACAGTTTATAAGCTTAAGTTACGAGAGCACAGAGCTTAATGGAATCCAGTTCTTTTATGGAGCAATAAAGAGTGGGGAAACTACACTCTCTGTTAACTGTGTACCTGGATAAACAGAAGAGACCAATAAATTATGATGGAGATTTAGCTTTCTGTGTGTGCTGAATGACTCTGGTCAGGCCTAATTCAGGTCCAGGCATGCACTTAAGAAGCCACAAGCATCTAGTTAGCATTCCTATATCAGAGCATTTATCTCCTAGCAAGAGGAACACCTCAATGTTTTTAATTCATTTTTTGTGTAGTACACAAGTAGCTTGCTATTACAGCCTTTGCATCTGTAACATTAACTTAAAAGAACAAAACTTGTACCCAGAAAGGGACTCAAACTTTGTTCTGTTGCTTCTGACCAATGTAGCTACCCACCTGAATTAACTTAAAAGAAAAAAGAATGCTGTCCATTGATTCTTTGTAGATAAGTAAATTAGAAGTGTCATATCCAAAGACAAGCAGGTTTCACAAGATGAAGCTAGTAATTAGTACAAACACATATTAACAGGTTTCTAAAATCAGCTTTCAACATTAGGCAGCTGCCCCACTTGCACCTCCTTGGTTAACTAATTAACATAACTTCAAATATCATACAAATTTCTTTATATTTAATTATCTTCTTAAAGTATATAAAAGCGATGTTAGCTCATTCTGGTTACTGTTATCATAACAAAGAATAAATATAATTACAGTTTCTCATACATACGATTTTCTGTTGGCTCTAAATCAACATACCCCTCTTTGAACTGTATGTTCACTATTTAGTTGGATATTCTTCCCATTCTAGACTCAGACACATATAATATCTGGCAAAACGTCAGGTACTACAATGCCAAGACCACGGCCATACAGCCCGGAAAATCTACAACAACTAACATATAATATCTATTGATACCATATTATTTTGAATCTGCTAGAGGCCATATTAGTGCATTGCTCCATTCTTTTTTACCCTTCTCCAAGACTATTCTGTGCCGTGCTTATGGAATATCCATTTGGCATGGTTAATTGGGAGACAAGCATCCTCCACAATCTTTCTGGGCCAAACCAGCAAATGTGTACCTATATTCCTGGCCATATCGGTAACAGTAAACATACAGTGATGCCATTGGAGCAGCTCCGCTGTATACAAGGTGGCTCTGAATGCACTTATTTATTCATTAACTATTTATAGTCCAGGTGGGGTAGCCGTGTTGGTCTGAAGCAATAGAACAAAGTTTGAGTCCAGTGGCACCTTTAAGACCAACAAAGTTTAATTCTGGATATGAGCTTTCATGTCAACACACACAGTTCTTCAGATACAATGAAATGGAGACTACCAGTCTGTACATATAGGTAGAGGGTGAGCAGCAAATTAGCACACAACATAAGAAAAGTGTTTAACAGATTCAAGGACCAAATAGGAATAACAAGCTTAGTTAATATGGTTGCCATTTGTTTGGGTTTAATTCTGGGGGGAAACATAGTGAAGGAAATAAACATGTCAGAATTGGAGAATTTCATTGTATTTGAAGAAGTGTGCATGCACATGAAAGCTTATACCTTGGATAAAATTTTGTTTGTCTTAAAGGTACCACTGGACTCAAACTTTGTTCTATTTATAGTCTGCCTTTCTCACAAGACTGGCGTGGCAATCTGTAATAGTTAAGAGCGCTGACTCTAATCTGGGAGAACTGGGTTTGATTCCCCACTCCTCCACATGCAGCTGCTGGTGTGACCTTGGGTCAGTCTCAAGAGCAGTCCTGAAAAGAGCTCTCTCTGCCTCACCTACCTCACAGGGTGTCTGTTGTGGGGAGGGGAAGGGAAAGGAGATTGTAAACTGCTCTGAGACGCCGAGTCTCCCCCCTCCTCCTCCTCCTCCTCTTCTTCTTCTTCATTGATGCAGGGAATATTTCACACACACACACACACACACAGAGATTGTGTGTAATATGTAGCACTCTCCATCATAGAAAAGAATGGAAAGCCACCAACAGATGCAGAGCTGTGGTCATATTCTGTTTCTTTCTATAATCTGCACCATAACTGGCTCCCTTCGTAAACTGAAACATAACCATGTGACTAGTTAATATAACCATGAAGTGTTATTAACCTTTGTCTGTATCTCCTTTCCAGTATTAAGGGTTACTGCTTGTTTACACCATAATCTCCTGCTTATTCTCTTCACTGAACTTCTGAGTCTGACTTTATGGCATTCTTGTTAATGTGCGATGTTCACAAAGTTACCACCAAATCAGATACTTCATCTGCTAAATGTAGCTCTCATTATCTCCCTGTAGCCTAGCATTAGTGGCACGGACCTGGATAAGTTGCGCCAGATACTGCTTCGCCACTGCGATATCAACAAGGATGGGAAGATTCAAAAATCTGAACTTGCCTTGTGCCTAGGAATTAAAATGATCCCATAGACCTCAATTAGCTTTCCCTACAGTTTGCCCCTTTTGTCCTTTGTAAACCTGCTGGCGCTTGTAGACTATTTTCAGTGCTGTGTTTATAATCTGTGTTGTATTACTGAACCTGGAAGATAAGGACAACTCACTGTCAAGATGAATATCCATTTGTAAGGATGCAGCCAAACAGAAGGCGTGTGATGAGCAGTGACTTGTTCCGTGCTGCTCCAAATGAGATATTATCTGCGGTATTTCAGATGGCTTTTGTAAGCACGCTCATATCCTCAAACCCACCACTCTATCAGGATATGCATTCTTTAACCAGACCTGCTGCTACAGAACCTGAATTTTATTGTGTTCAAGTACCTAGGCTAAAACTAAAGCGCCCCTTTCCCCTTCTCTGTGCTTTATATCTAAGACAACTACTTGATATATGAGATTGGGTGCATTTTTTAAAAGGTACATGAGTGTTACGGTATCATTTGCAGCTCAATGTATTTGTTTAAGAATAAAAGCAGCCATTTAGAAGACAGAACATAGTTTGTATTATTTCTAAGTCTTGATACTCTGCACACTACTTGTTGTCCTATACTTTGGTTATTCATTGTCTTTCAAGGAACTCTTTCATCAAACGAGCAACCGATGACTTCATTGTTGGAAACAACAGTGATTTGCTGATCAGAAGCCCCTCCCCACAAGCTTGCCTCACCTCAGCCTCTTTCCTTGGCAAGTGGTCTCCTGATCTTGAACTAGAAGAGACTCAGCACCATTTCTTTCATTTTGGTGCACCTACATTGCACCTTTATTGCACAAAATATCTCAACCATTTATTTCAACCACAATCTGGCCTGGAACCAACTCTCCACTTTTCTCTGTCCTCACAAACCTTGGCAGGTCCACATGTCTCCAGCTAGTATTTGTGAGTGGAGAGGGCTATAAATGGCTGGGCGGGTGGACCACGCTCTCACCTTTTCCTTGCTGCATGAACCAGACTGAGGCTACCAGGTGCAGTCATAGCAGTATTTAATTCACAGGCCACCTCAGTTTAGAGAGAACCAGCCAAAACATAACAGCCTGGTCAGTTTTGTCTCCCCGGCCTACCCTCTGCCTCTCTGCAAGCCTCTTTTATTTGATAGATCTGCCCCCTGGCCAAGATTGCCCCCTCCTATAATAACCTCACCTGAGTCTCCTAGAGGGTGGGGCTCCTCTTCCTATCCTCACACCTGAGAATCCTTGCCATCCTCAGTATATCTGATTGGCTGGCTGCCTGTTAGCATCCGCCTGCTCCAGAGCCTGCGTTATCCCTTTAGGTATGACTCCACCACTCTTTTGGCATTGGGTTGCCAATTATACAATATGTCTCCGGTCATTTCTTCCTCACCTCTCTCTCACTTTCTGTCTTTGCTCCATATATCTTTCTTATTGCTCAATATATTTTCCCGGTATTTGGAGAAAATATCTTTGCTGACTTATTTCACGGTGGCTTCTTGTATTTTATTCATGTGATGTATGATAGAGTGGACGTTTTGACACCTTATGAGCAGGGTGCTGTGATAATATACACGGTGATGAGAATGTTCATGAAAGTTTAATAAAGCTTTTCATTCTTAAGAGGAATAACCCCTGAAGATTAATATCAGAGAGAAAACTATATTAATCTGTTATACGAAAAACAAGAGGATGATTGTGGCACTTCAAAGGCTAAGCTTTATTGTGGCATAAGCTTTCACTGACTTACTCCCACTAAATCAAAAGGGGACATCAATCTGTCAAATATCCTAAATGCTCCTTGATTCTGATAAAGTGAACTCTAGTCCATGAAAGCATAAAGTCACAATACACTGCTTGGACTTACAGTGACTCAAAACTGTTTTTTGTTTTTAAAGATGAGTAAGAGGTCATTACACTGTTTTCCATTGCTACTTGAAATTTCATATATATTTATGTATAATATTTTGCTTCTAGTTTGGTTTGGTTGAGGAGAAGACATTCCCAAACGGAATGAGGATCGAAGCAGAGGGCGGGGTAAAGAAGGGGGCGGGGCTTCACCACGTGACCGCCCCGCCCCCTAGAGGTTCTCTTCCGGAGCTCCGTACCTGAGAGCTCCCCCAGTTTGGTTTGGTTGAGGAGAAGAGAACTTTTAATCACTAGATGAACAAAACTCTGAACCTCTTTCACTAGAAGAGATCTAGAAAGAAAACTTAGTAATTTTTCATGTGCACGAACATATATTATTAACCAGTAGGCATTAGTTTATTGATATAAATTTTCAGAAATCTAATATCACTATCAATGGTCTGATTTTCCCAGCAGTTGAACTCACAGGCAAGGGCACTCTCTCTGGAAGGTACCACATGACTAGCCTTTTCAATGCAATGCAGATACAAAGTCTAAACACAATCCCTCTAATATTTCTACCTCTACATTAGTTTGCCACTTCCCAGTAAGATCTCCAATCTCACACAAACAACATCAAAATGTTTCCTCACTTTCTTGGAATGTTGGGGGGGGGGGGTCAGTACTGGCCCTTTCCTTACCTTAACTCCCTGTATTTGGCACAAAATACAGTCTTTGTGCCAGTCAATTGAAGCAGGCTACATGCTGCTCTCATTTGTTTATTATTGTAGACAGCTGACAATGGCCAAGGCTACCAACGGAGATAATTGCACAAACTGAGTGTTTGGATAATTGCACAAACGGAGTGTTTGCTGAGAAAACAAAATGGAGCCAGAATTCCATATGAGAAACATAAAATTAGTATTAGGATAGTCAAAGGGCAAAAAATGAAATGCAATATGACAAGAATGTTGGATCTTCTGGACCCAACCCTGCCCTGCTCTTTCTTTGAAAATGAATGTGGAAGTCAAGAAATCATTTAAACTTCCAAACTAGATCTGTACCCAGAATGCATTGACCAAATATGTGTGTTATAAACAAGCATGACCTCTGTGGAGAAACACCATTTTATGTATATGTTTAAGTTGGTGTGGGCCAGATAGGAGGGGACCATCAAACCTGAGGTAGGCCTTGGCCTAGTCTCCTCCTCATTCCCCCCCCTCCCGTCTCCAACCAGTAGTCTGAGGGCAGCTCCCTAGAGAGGACAGGAAGTCCATCAAGACTGGAGACTGCAGGAGGCAGAGGCCATGTTGGGAGTTGTGCTAATCTAACTTCCTCCATTGAAAGCAAGTCATGTGCCTGCCCTGCAGACCATCTAGACAGGGTATGTGTAGTGAAGGGAGAGATGGAGCGATTTATTATTCACCTTTATTTTGATTCTTCAGTTCACTGTTAATATGCCTGTATATAGTTGAGCGGTTTCAAAATAAATCCTTTTATTGGTGACATTGAGAAGTCCTTCTGTACCGCATAGTTCCCCCAGCCGCTTGGACACCCTAAGAGTGGGTTGGGGACTCCCTGAGGAGAACAAGGGCAAAATGGTCAGTTGCCAACTCTCCAGGGGAGCCCCAAAGATTGCCAGGAAGCCCCGAGGTGGGTTCCTAGCAACATCAGAAGGAGGGTAGGAGGCTGTCCCACCTAACCAGAGCGCACGACGGGGGCAGTGGTGGCAGCAATACCTGGAGGCAGTGGTGAAAAACTGCCCCTTCAGGTGCCAGAGGAGGCAAAGGAGGGGTGGGCAGAGCGGGGCCTGCCAGCTGACGTGGGCCTGTTCCGCCACAACCTCAATGAACTGGATTGCTGAGCAGACGTGTTCAACAAAAGCCCTCCATATATTCAGCCAATTACAACAAATGGCAGCAAAATCCAAAGGATGGGGAAAAGTGGGTTTTGTGTGTCTTTGTTTCATGTATCTCTTTTTCTTCCTTGAGCTTTCATTCTGAATCAAATATGCTGGCTCCAAGTCAGATAAAATTAAGCAGACTGTTGAGAATGTTCAGTTGAACATTCCAGATCTTGTTGATTCCAATGAGACATAAACATACTTTGCTTTCAGTGTAGTACATTCCATATGGCAATGCCCCCCTTTTAAAATCTAGAACAGAAGCAGCAGCAGCAAAAGAAGTAGCTGGATAGAATGGATAGAGTGTTGGGTTTAGATTTGTACGGAACAGCAGCTAGTGGCAGAAGGCCAAACTGAAAGCGATATCACATGACACTGTGACATCACTTCTGGTTGCATACCTGGAAGTAGTGACATCATGGCATCAGTGATGCTGTAAAAATGTCCCAAAATCTTTGTGCTTTTAAACCAGAGTGTTGTGCCATGCCATGATGCCACTTCTGGGTACGTAGCCAGAAGTGATGTCATATTGTCGTGCAATCCCAGTCCCCCCCTCCTTTTTTGCTCCCTCTCCTCCATTGAGCAGTAGTGGAAGAACAGAGCATGGATACAGGAGGTTGCCTGCCATGGCGGGCAACCTGGCAGCTTTACATTACTCTCCTGGTAGTAGGATTGCCAGAATTTCCCCATTTCCTTTTTTCCAAGGAGTATAATCACACCTCCTCTCCCCTCACCCAGGTAAAAGTCTTTTCTTTCTCTGCTGGTGGCCATAACAAGACACACATGGCACTTGCAAGTACAGAAAGTCTCACATCTGGTTAGTCTCTCAGACTAAAGTGTAGTGTCCTAGTTCAAGCATCAATTAGGAGTCAGCCATGAACTTCACCAACAGTGCCAGAGCCAACCTGTTCCCAAATTAATTATACTCCCAATCAGCAGCATGTCTGTCTTATCTAGCTTCACTTTTTTCATCCTCATCCAGCTCTTCACTGTGTCCAGTTCCTGGTTCTGTGCTTTCACTGCCTCCTGGAAGTTAGAAAAAGTGAGCAGGGTACAATCAGCATATACTTGAAATCTCTGCCTGCTTTGCCCCCAGCAGTTTCATCCAGATGCTAAACAGCACAGAGGACAAAATGGAACCTTGTGGCACTTCCTAAACCAATGAACAACCATAACACAAAACACAAGCTAGACACCATTTTTGTTCAAAGTCAAAGGACTTTGTGCTTTCGGCATGCATATATTGCATATAGGCCCATTTAATGGCAGATCCTGCTGATCCATGTGCAGAACCAAAGCTACA